TAAGGAACCAAATAACGATGTGATTACCTTTGTTTACGAATTCTATTAAAGTAGGTCCTGCCATACATCAAGAAGATGAGTACGAAAAGAATGAAAAACTGAGCAAATCAGCAACAGTAAGAAGAGCCGCCGTGTTATTAAGTGAAGATGAAACAGAATAAAAACATTTTTAATTTAAATTTTAATTATGCTATGTACAGAATTTTGTTGAATTAATATATTTTTATTTAAAAATGCATAAATTTAAAATGCATAAATGCATAAATGCATAAATTTAAATGCATAAATGTGCATACCTTTCTATTTTACAAAAAATAAATAATATTGTTTCATATGGATTTGGTGAATTTATTACATGAGTATTTTTTTCAATAACTGTGTAGACTCGAATTACACGATTTCCGTTTACACGGCATTTTCGGGGAAACCAATCTACTGCGTCAATCGAGGGTTACCTACAGAGTCGTTCCTAGCGGGGATGCAGCTCCAAAAAGTACGCGGGCAGCGAATATCAAGGGCGATTAGACTCTCGCGACACCACGCCTAAATATTTTAAATTCATTATAAGTACTTGTCATACGTAAGTACGTTTTTTACAATTTGTCATATGTAAGTAGTTAGTGAGTATGAGATGAAAATTTTATTAATCATTGAGCATTTTTTTGTTTTATATTTGGGGGGCGGCAAACTTAGGATAGTACACAGGCAGCCAATGGCCTAAAAACAACCCTGGTTATCTGCATATCTTTTTCTATTAATTGTTGTTTAAGCAGGGACGGATTAATCATTAAGCAATATAAACACAGGCTTAGGACATCATAAAAAGGTAGGGGCATCACGAAAAAGTATTCAGGAAAGGCAGCACCAAAAAACTTCCCATTTCAGGTTTCACCATGAAATGCGTGCAGCTAAACCAAAACCGAGAGAGAGAAGTAACGAAGAAAAACTAAATTAAACATACTTAAAGGGGACAACAAAGTCTTTTAAGAGCTTAGGGTCTCTAATAAAAAGGTGTTAAACTGACCCTGTGTGTAAGGGAGTGAAAGTATATTTTAATAGTCAAAATGAAGTAAGAAAGTCATGATGTGTATCCAACTCATCAGTCAGAAGACATGAATTTCACCAAGTATTTTAAATATATCAAAGCAACAAGGTAAAAATCTAAGATACTAAAACATATGGGGATCCTAATGCATAAAGTAAAAAATAAAAAAGTAAAAATGCATGGATTAATCTCCCTTGTTTGGAGCTCCATAACAGAACTTGTTTGGAAGTGTTTGGAACTTGGAAAAGTGTTTTGAAGCTCCGTACCTGGTCGATTAATTAGATAGCTTAAACAAGTTTCGTTCCGACTAATTCACTGAGACTAAGAACGCAGTAATTAATCAATCAAGTAATTAGGCAACGAATTAGTAGAATTAAGAGTCTCATTGAACTATCTCTTTTCCCTACTTAATTTAGTTCTCCAACACAAAATTATGAATTATGAAATATTTTTTAATAAACAAATTATAAAAACGTCCTTAAAAATTATACATAAAATTGTAAAATCCTGTGATCACACGAAAATGTCTTACAATGTAAAAAGGTAAAACAAAATACAAATTTCAAGATATTAGTCTGATTTAAAGTAAATAGAAGAGACAATAACAATAAATAGTGCAACTTAAAAAAGGAGTGTCTCAAAAGGACTGAAGAAAAAAAAAACTTTTTAGAAAATGTGTAAGTTTTAATTGAACGTGAGTACAATGCTTGTGAAACTTCATTTAATTAGTTAAAAATTAATAAAATGAAAATACGAGTTTTTCATGTCTCCAGCATCAGAAGACTTAATGGCGCTACAGTAGCGCCCGAACTAAAAGGTGGTGGACGATAATTCGTCATCACCAAGATTTGGCGACTGGGTCCCCTAATCCCCAGTCGACCTTTAAAAGGGATTTTTTTTCCTTCCAATGGCAGTCATTTGCCTGTAACGGCATTGACTACTACTAAGGCCTGAAGTGGCGGCCATTTTACTGTGGAAGCACCTAATAGGCGGCCACTATTATCTCCTATGAAGGGACAGACAATTTTACATCCATGCCTTCTCTGGGATGCGAACCCGGGGCCATTTGGTATCGCATTCAGGCTCCCCTAACCACTATACCGTCTGGGCGGCAAAGGGGGGCGTATATAAGGTGTTTTCTCCCTCTTTTCCAGTGCCTTTCTAGTATAACTGGATGCATATTAAACGCGTATTCGGGAGGTCCGGAGTTTGAATCCCGGCGAAGGCACTGCACATTTTTCACGTCTCCATCATCAAAGAAACTAATGACTCTACAAATGAAATAAATAAGAGAAATTCATAAATGGATATCTAACTCAAATTAAGATTCCTAATGTATCTATTCGTTATTGCTTTACATTTTTTGCTTATAGAATTGAGCTTTGAGAAACAACATATGGAAACTAGTAACTGCAAAATACTGCTGAATCACCAAATATCATTATTTTAAAAATATTTTTGCAGCCTACAGCAGCTAATTTTTACCATTACGTATTATAGTTAAGGATATTCATGTACATATATATTTTGAAATATTTTTAATTCAGGATCTGAAGATCTTCTTTATAAGCTGCATTTGTACCCTGCTTTTCAGTAATTTTTGCGAATTTGTAAACGTTTTCACTATCCGCCCACAGTGAACTGCAAATGATACGTAGAAAACATTCTTAATGATCTAAATAATAGAATCCGTAACTACTATGTTTATAATCCCCACATAATTAAATTCTGAAGAAAATAGCAAATTTTTCTGCTCTAAGGAGCTATAAAAAAATGTTAAGGAAAATTAGGCTTAGTAGAAGAACTTAAAATATTTTTGACAGCTTATAAACAACGAATAACTTGCTGTAAGATTTATATTGTAAATATCCTGAACAGTATATTACAGTCAGTGGCGTAAATAAGGGTATGCAAGGAATGCTGTGGCATAGGGGCCCGAAGGCTTAAGGTGTCCTTGAATGTCCTGCTGAATGACAGTTATATGTCGCAGATAGGGAGTCCTTGTAAGCAGATATAACAGCTGAATTACGTGTTAAAAAAATGGTTATAGGCTTTAATTTTGATTCTCCTTTTAAATCATTAAGTATAACCGAGGCCAAACTACTACTAACAACATATAGTGAATTTGAGTTTCAGAAAGCAGCTCCTCCTTTTACTTTGTATCACGTGAAGAACATCAGTAAAAGCAAAAGACGAAAGTAAATGTCATGTGGCCGCCATCAGTCGACGAAAAAGGTGAGTGTCTGGTTGAAGGTCCAAATCAGTGAACTGAAGAATCTAGTATAAGTAAAAAATGTTAATAATAGAGAATGCCAGATGGATATTTGTGCTTTTCTCTGGGAAATGGAGAATATCTAAGAGAGTTGATGCAGTTGTTAGGATGAGTGAGAACTGAATAGAAGGAATTTCTGGCAAGTTTTTGAATATAATCTTGAATTGTATCTACTTTGAGATCACGGTGGATATAGGAATTTGGAATGAACAATGGCGCGTTGATGATCTCTCCGAGTGCTTTGTTTTGAAGAATTTGGATGTGTTGAAGGTGAGTTTACGCAGCGTGGCCCCAGACAGGACTAGCATAGAGTAATGCTGGTCGAAGTATAGATTTATATAAGAGGAGTTTATTAGAAACGGACATATGACTTCTTCTGCCAAGAAGTGGGCGCATAGTTGCAAGCGTGATATTGATTTTTTTTTTCACAGTTTCCCTGAGATGTTTCTGAAAAGTCAATTTTTTATCAAGAATGACTCCTAGATATTTAACTTCGTCAACCCAGTCAATTTCTTCATCAAACAGAAGAGGTCTAGGTGGAATGAAATTTGTTTGACCTTTGCGAAAAATTATTGCTTTTGATTTTTCGGTATTAACTGCAATCCTCCAAAGAGTGAGCCAATTTTTTAGATGATTGAGGTAATGTTGAAGAAGGAGCTGGACATCAGTAACAGTAGAAGCTTCGGTCATAATTGCAGTATCATCAGCGGAAAGAGCAATGGTAATTTGTAAGTACTTAATAATATCGTAAATTTAAATGTTATATACATATGGAGAAAGTACAGATCCTTGAGGTACTCCAGCGAAATCTTTTCTAGTGGAAGAAACAGAACTGCCAATCTTCACTGCAAAGATTTTGTCTTGGAGATAGGAAGCAATTAGTCTAATACAATGATCGAGGATTTTAACTTGATAAGTTTGTATATAAGTCCCCGGTGCCATACCCTATCAAAAGGTTTCGCAATATCAAGGAAAATGGCTCCGGTAGGGAACTTACAATTGAAACCGTCAGTAATATAGTTGATGACACGAAGCAGCTGGTGATTAGTACTGTGAAGATGACGGAAGCAAACTGTTCGTCTGGAATGTAGGAGCTCTGTGGCATAATTTCATTAAGATGATAAAGAATAACATGAGGACAGACTGTTGTTCGGGTTTATTGTGAGAACAAGTTCTGAATTTGTTGAGGCGAGTACGTGACAATGGCTGCAAAAATTAAGTATAATTTCAAGTATTCTGTCAATAGCTAGAAGTAGCGAAAGAAAATGGGTGTTGTTTATGTTGAAGAAATTTTTAGTCTACATACACAACTTCACTAAAATCTTTTAGTTTAGTGACTCAAATTTATAAATAATAATGATACTAAATATAAGACACAAATAAACCGGTAAGTCAGGGCTAACTCTAGCGTTGACAATATTTAACGGAACAACATTAATCGCCAATCTTATGACCACCCATCAACAATGAAGGAATATTACAATAGTGTATAACAGATGCCAGCCTACGCTAGCGAATCATATCACTGCGCATGCGTGAAGCGTTAGCCCGCAGAACTGAACGCTACTTTGAACTAGGAAATGAAGTGAAGGTGTATTGTTTTGGTGCGTTTACTTTCGTAAATATTAAGATATTATTTTTTAAAATTTATTAGTGTAAGAGAAAAGATTTTTTTAAGATTCAGTAATGTAATAAGAAATAAGAATGTTCCATGTAACATTATGATTTCGCTGATTGACTCGACTCTAGCGTGATTATAGGTCTTAGTTAATTTTAACCTTGATAGCCGAAAGAAAAAAATTCAGTGAATTTAATTTTTGAAATGAAGGAATATTACGCTAACTAATCAAATAAGGAAAATTAAATTTTGCTTGTAAGAAATTTAATCTTGATTTAACTCGCATTAATTATACACACACTTAACAGCTCACATTTGTTTAGATACTGCATTTTAAAAACATTATTTTATCATCTTTTATGGTTTGCAAAAATGCGTAATTAGGTTGTTGCAGTATACGAGAATCGCAGTTATTTTAAATTAAATGTATTTATCTATTAGGCATTATGTAATAATATAATAGAAAAATCTATGTATTTAATTGTATAATTTTTCTGCAGATTTTGTTACTTTGGAGAAAAATGTTAGCAGTAAAGCGCTGTGTATCATGTTTGAAAAGTAAAGTAAGTTCTCTCCTATCGTACTTAATTTTTTTACACTTGCATTTTCCTGTATTATATCTGAGGTATCTACTTTAAAATATTTCTTCTAAATTTGATCTAAAGTATATTAATATTAAAAAAAAATCTTGATTTTAATAAACGTATTTAATGTTATTGAATCTTAAGGTATTAATCGATGGCTAAATAAATTATTCTTATATAGTGGAAAAAAGTCTTAAAGCTTGTGAATGTTATATTAATATTTTATCTCACTAAATGGGGAAAATTTCAAATATATTTTGTCTACTTAAATTGAATCGGAAGATGTAAAAAGGGGCTATAAGACAAGAGCCAGATTTTACAGGAACAATAAAAAGCTATTCTATTCCTCTTAAGAATGTCAGAAGATGTTTGAAAAGTGCTGAATTACATGGATCCTAGTTACATCAATCTCATAATTTTTTGTTATTAATTTCTGATGTTTTTGTGAATAATGGGATTATTATTATTATTATTATTATTATTGGCTCCTGCAAAATTTGACGTTTGTCACATAGCACTGTTTTACATCTTCCAGTTCACTATTAGTTACTATGCCCACCATTATCAGAAGTTGTAAAACAATTGCTTGGTAGTTAATTTGGTAAAAGTATATTTACTGATAAAGTTTGGTGAAAATTGGCGATTTTTGGTGGCACATGGATACCAAGTTTGTGCAATTCTTTGACTTGTTATTTCGGCTTTGTGTAGCAGTGATTTTAGCACTAAAAATCACCGCTACACAAAGACAAAATAAAAGGTCAAAGAATTGCACAAACTCCATATCCATGTATACATTGACCTATTTTCACTTTAAAAAAAATCACAGAATTGCACAAACTAGGCATTGCACACTCCCTTGACTTTATCCATGTACATGTCGACCTATTTTCACTTAAAAAAACTTCAGAGAATTGCACAAACTTGACATTGCACACTTCCTTGACTTAGCGATAAATGAAACAACAACTTTGCGATAATACAAAAAGTACACTTAAGTCTACTCTAATTTTGAAAAGTATTCTTGGTAAAAGCACTACTGGAAGGACATCTGTTTAGTCTGTCTTTTTTTGGATTAAAGTACCTTTCCGTCCTCCCCTCCCCCAAATTTTTTTTTGGTCCAATGAGATGTAATATACATTAATTTCCCAAGTAAATCATATATGTGTACAATGTAGCTTATATGTATGTCTGCTATGTAGTATCATGTAGTTTTATCTTCATCTCTTATGCTAGATAGTAGGCCATGACACTGAAAGTAACTTCGAAAATAACTTTCATAGCACTTATTTAGGGCAATGTACGGGTTTTCATCCGCAGAGAACCCGTTGGTGCCATTGCATTTTTATTCGCCGTGTTTAGTGTATGTAAATTCAAGTTAGCAGACAAAACAATATATTAAGCATATGGTAGTAAACATTCACGGATATTAAGCATGTAGATGTCAAACTAACTGTTTAAATATGATGTATGAAAATAAATTTGTATTAAATTCAAGTTAGCACAGAAAAAATATGTTAAACGTAATGGGAAGTAAAAATTCATTTAAAAAATAAAAATTAGTATTCTCATACTTACGTTTACATTATACTTATATGTATTTGCTCTAATTCATATAGAATACTAATATTTCTATTACAAGTGTCTTTTTTCATTTTTAAGTATTTTGCTTGTTGACTGATGTATTTCCATGCCCATGTACTAAATTAATTAGAGCCCATGTAATAAATTAATTAAAGAGCCATGCCCATGTAATAAATTAATGAATGCATGACTTTAGTACATCCATTTTACATAAAGTTTTCAGTATTTTTTTTTTTTTTCAATTTATTTGCATACAGCTTAAAGCATTTTACGTTGAAACAAATACCTGTCTTTTTCATAATATATTTTACAATACAAATAACCTTCAATAGTAATCAAATTTTCTTCAGTAGCATTGTTAATAAAAGTAGAACTAAATTATTTTATTATTTTTCAAGAGTCATTTGAACTGTATTCCTTACACCAGTAGTGGTTTGCTAATTTTGATGATCATGGGGATGCATCAAACTATTCTGTCATCTTAGATAATCAATAATATTTTTTATTTCAATTTAATCAGCTATTTATGTCACACCTGCCATTCTCTGAAAGGTTATTGTTAGAAAAGCATTAACAATATATCATCTTGTTAAAATTTTACGCCATAAAAATTTACGCCATAATTTTAGATGACAATAACCAATAATAAAAATAAAAGCATTACTTATTTAGGCTGATCTTTAGAATGTGGTAACTGGTAGTTTGGCGACATTTTAGAGGCGATAAAGGTTACTACCTGGGACTTTGGTTATAATGTGAGCAGTACTCAGTTCTGATTACGCATTATTTTGTGTGAGGGAAATGAGAGATCATGGGATATGTCATGTGATATTAATGGACGAATTCTTTAATCGGAAAAGGGGGGAAATCGGGAAAAAATCTGGAAATTTTTTTGCGTTTAGCATTTTGGCATTTAGCTTCATAGTGTGTTGTGTGAAACAGTGTTCGTTAATTTTTGGATCCCATGGCCCTAACTAAAGTGAATTCAAAATAGGTATTCAGTGGGATTGAAAGGGGTAGTAATAAGTGTTTCTTTAAGGTTGTGCGAGATAGAAGTAAACAGGGTTGCCACGCTACCTGGAAAACCGGGAAAAGTCAGGGAATTCGAAAATTGACCAAAAAATTCAGGGAAAAGTCAGGGAATTTAAGTATTTTTGTCAAAATCTGGAAAAGTCAGGGAAGTTCATACAATGATCCCGCCAAAAAAAAGCGATTTTTGCGCCGACGTCGGAAGAGATAACTTTTTTGGCGAATTGCCTATCACGTGAGTGTCTGCTGGCATAGAGCCAATTTTCGCAGCTCCAATTTGATTGCCTTTTAAAAAGGCAAAGCAAGTTTCCCGCAACTTTTGGTTTCCAGTATTCTCGAGAATCGCATGTGCAGTGCATGAACTAAAGAAAGTACCTGTTCTCGTATAAAACAAAATGGGTTTAATCTTAGTATACGGTACCATGGAGGTTAGAATCAAAGAATATGTATTGTAAAGAAGGAAAACCTCTCTGCAACAGACGTGGTTCCGTTCCATCATAGAGGGAAACAGCTGTGCATGCGTGATATATCTGCCGCCAAAGCTGGAAACCTGTGTCGAAGTTCGAAGGTCACGTTATCAAGAGTTCATTAAATGAATATCCTTTAAAATTTCTTTAACCACTTGCGCTAAAAAGACGTGCATCGAGATGTTTTTGTCTCAAACTGCGAGCGACGTGAACACCATGTCGATAAGCATTTATCGCAAAAATGAAAATAACATGGTGCACACGTCGCCTAACAACGAGATTGTTTATTTCTCGAGTTACAGCTCTGGATTGCACTCGCAGATGCGGAGCGAGACACTTTACCACTTGCTATATTGTAGCGCACGGCACAAGAAAATATTTTTTGGCGTAGTACATAATAATAAGTAAATTAATTCATAGGTTAGTAATTTTCAGGGTGGGGGGAAACTACGAAAATCCGTTTTTAAAATTATTGCGAAAAATCCAAGAAGAAACGTCCTATGATAAAACGTTTCTTCTTGGATTTTTCGCAATAATTTAACCCCTTAACTGCCGTGGGCGTATATATACGCCTTGCTCAGCCGATGCGTTAACTGCCCCAGGCGTATATATACGTCCTTCCAAACTGCTATCATTTGCTTTGCGCTGCTACACCTAAAATTATTCGCAAAGTTAACGCATCGGCTGTGCATCTGGGGCAGTTAACGCATCGGCTGAGCAAGGCGTATATATACGCCCGCGGCAGTTAAGGGGTTAAAAACGGATTTTCGTAGCTTTCTTTTTGTCAAAGAGCATTTCTTCTTAACACGTTTCTCAATTTCCGGTACACATCGCGGAGAGGGAAATTCTGGCCGCCAGGTTCCGTCGCCAAATCCCTTGGCAAATTTTCTTCTTTACATAGACCAAAGAATTAGAGATTCTTTGCATAGACGTTTTTTGGTTAAAATAATCTCCATGTATGGATTTGGCGACATGATGATGCGCAGTAAACGGGTCATTTTGGTCTTGGCGACAATTTTCAAAATCGTGCCAAAGCCTTACCGTATACTAGAATTTTACTGCAAAATCTTTTTAAACTTTTCTTTTTAATAAATACCTTGCCATTTTGCAGTAAAATAAAAAAATAGTAATCTGTCATCTAGGCTAACCATGTAATATAACTATATTCGCTAAAATATCGTTGATTATTCTAATTCAATTTTTAAGTAATTATCTTTATTTTTGTTATTCGTATAACTTAATGATGCTTCTTCCCTCTAAATTTATTAATTATTAGTAAATAATATTTTTAAATTTCAGGAAATTTTCTCTGGCATAATCTTGAAATGAATTCTAGCAGTATGATGACATACCATCACAAAATTTAATGCACATATTTTTTTCTTATGTATGCTGCGAACTAAATATAAAATACCTCAATTTATTAAAATAGATTTCTTTGTTTCGTTTAGCTACAGAATGTTTGCAAAAAAAGCCTTATTTTATTCCAGATTGGGAAGATTCTAATCTCAATCTTCAATGGAGAAAACAACAACTATTATAATTATATTTGTGTTTTCAAGTGTTAAGGTGCTTTTTAAGAACATACCTCACAAATTAAATTTACCTAAAATCTAACCTAACTATTTAGCATTGCGTTGTGATTTATAAGGACCGGATTAGCCTCGTGTTGAACTGGTGATGATCATGAGTAATAATTAAATAAAACATACATTTCTTATCCAATGTATATATCTTAAATTTTCTTAAGTTTCTTAAGTGGAAAAGTAAACAAAATTATCAAACAAAGTATACCAAGAATAATTAAGAATAAATGTCCTCTGGGATTTATTGAATAATTAAGTGAATTTGCTACACAATACAAGTAATACCATAATTTACCTCTTAGCGTAGCCAACGTAC